CAAAGTAACATATAAAATGCACTGATACATTTCAGGCAGAAACTAGAAGAGAGGGGCTGCAGAAAGAAAAGAATTACCTGATGGCGAGGACTTGGAATCTATCTTCGGAGTTGATAGCGTTTCTTCTGCCATAGCCTTCAATCGAAACGCAGTTAATTTATACTTAGTTGCTCCCAGCAGCTAAACCCCAAACAATTCCAATAAGATAAGGGCGTAAAAACAACACCGAAGATTAACATGAAAAAAAAGGATATCAGCTCCTCAAATAGAATATATGAAACATTCAATTGGATACCAATTGGGCAGATACATGAAGAGTGGAAGTGGTGGTGTGGCTAATGCCAGTGTGCACTGGATGCCACGCGGAGGCAGGTGAATGAACGGAGGGGACGCCGGTGGAAGCTCGCCCAAAATCCACCATCATTTGCGTTATCTTAGTAAAAACCCGTACCAACAAACTGCATTGGATGTGGTGTACAGTAAAGCGTAATATTGGTAGTATTAGTGTACTAACAAACTAGTACGTAACCCGTGCAATGCACGGGATGTAAAATTTGAAAGAATAATATAACCAAATGTGTATTAGGATCGAAATTGAAATCATTAACGTGCAATGCACGGGATGTAAAATTTGAAAGAATAATATAACCAAACGTGCATTAGGATCGAAATTGAAATCATTAAAATATATAGGAACATTGTTGAATCATAAAAAGTTCGGTAACAATCATATATTATTAAAAACCTTCTTGTACACAACATTATGAGTTTGATTATTTGGTAACTCCTCATTATCACAAACTAATATTTTCAAAAGAGACAAATCCTAAAAATCAAACTAATATTTTTGGTGAACAAACTAATATTTTAGGATTGGTGAACAAACTAATATTTTAGGATTTCTAGGATTTGTCTCTTTTTGGTGAACAAACTAATATTTTAGGATTGGTTATATGAATAAGGCTACCTATTTTTTGTGTTCTTTTCATTCATTTTCATTCAAACAATCCGATGACTTGTATAATGAAATCCGAATCTTAAGCCGAAATATTTAAAAAATAGTTTTTAAAAATTAAAAAGTCAAGGCAATCAGTTTAGATTAATTAAAGTTTAAAGAATATCCGCTCCTTGAATAAAGACGTGTGCTATCATTAATCAAATATCCAGTTATTGATATAGAGTGGTTACCAAAAAATAGAACGCGATAAAGACGCTTCATGGAAATATCAATGGGATAAGGTCATAACAGATCGCTATACATTTTAACGATAAAAGCTCAGATGGAATGATTTATGATAATTATGTCGTAATTAATGAATTAATTAGATGTGTGAAAATGACATAATTAATGAGATGTGTGAAAAGGACATAATTAAAGAGAAATGTGAAAAGGACAAAAACTTACCAGTTTTGGAAAATATTTAATGCAAATCCGACATTAACCATAATTTGACCTACTATTTTGGATAAATGTTATATATATAAATATACATAAAAATACATAATATCAAATGCAAAAAAGTAAAAAAATAAATGACCACAATCATTAATTTCAACTTCTTAATGAGATAAAAATAAAACATTTAACTGCTTAAATTTTATATTTTAAAACTAATAATTTATTTTTATTTTTTTTTATTATTGACCGGTATTTTAGACCGGTATTTACGGTATGATTCCGGTACAAACCGGTATAACCGTAAATCTGGTATTTTGAGTGTAATGTACCGTACCAATGGCCGGTATCCAGTATTACCGGTATTACCGGCCGGTACGGTACGGTATTTAAATCATTGCAGTAAAGCGTACAGACAATAGAGGTTCTAGGGCTTTTAGCCCTCCCTCAAATTCAGAATTTTAGTGAATTGCTAAACACCGCCACTTATTACTACGTCCCGCTCTCTTTGGATCGTTTTGCTTTTTTTCAAAAAAAACTTAAAAAATCAAATATCTCCCGCCGGCTGGCCGCCACCATGCACGGCCCCAATCACCGTCTGGCCTCCACCGTGCATGGCTGCAATTGCAGGCCTGGCCAACAGNTTTAAAAAATATAATTGAATTAATCTTTTTATTTAGGTCAATTTAGATAAATTTTGGATTAGTAGTTATTAATAATACATTACTTATAAAATGTTTGTTGAGTAATTATTACTTTAAAAAATTATAATTAATATTCTAATATAAGTTCAAAAAATTTTATAATTTTATTATTTAAGTAGTTTGTATAACTATAAATCAAAAAGTGTAAGTATATGAAATTATTATATTGATTTTTTAATGCTAAAAGTGGAATTTTTTAATGTCAAAAATAATTTTACTAGATAATCATTCCAATTTAAAACATAATAATTTATAAGTTCTAACATAATAATAAATTTTATAAGATAATAAATTCTAATTTATAACATAATAATCTCTAAGTTCTAACATAATAATAATAAATTCAACTTTAATTTCATTTGTAACATAATAATTTCTAAGTTCTAACATAATAATAATAAATTCTACTTTAAAACATTATAATTTCTATATTCTAACATAATTTCTATAATAAATAAAAATTATAAGTAAAAAAAACCAGTGCAATTGCGGTCGTGGCGGCTGCCTGTTTTGCCGGCCGGGATTTTCAATTTTTGAGTTTTTTGAAAAAAAAATATCAGGGGCAAAACGGTCCAAATGAGGGCGATAAAGTAATAGGGAGGGTATTTAGTAACATCCAAATTTTAACATGAGTGCATTCTGTATTCATTCATTTAAACATTAATTACACAATACTACATAGCCCATGCGATGCACTGACAATAATTATAAATTGCATATATCAAAACCATGAAAGAATATTAATTAGTATAAAAATAATTTTGAATATTAATATTTTTTTTCTTTTATTTTATGGTATGTAATAATTTAACAGATGATTTATATGTTTATTTCACCCTTATAAGATTACGGTCATTTTAGAGTTCCTATTAGAATTAAAATAATGACAATTTAACATATTAAACATTATCAATAAATATTTCACACATAATACTTCTCTCCCTATATTCCCGTACTAATACATTATTACAATATTTAAATTCCATCATAAGTTATGATAAAATTTAAAAATTGTGGCAAATATTATAACCAATAATTGAAAATGTTTGTAATATATATTATTTTGAAGTTAAAAAGTTTAATAATTTTTAATTACATCAATATTATTTTTCCTTTTAATTTAGTGTATATTATAAGTATTTCAATTTTTCTTTCTAATCTAATAAATTTATATGACAGTTCCACACAGATTGATTTATTATTATAATTAATAATAATATATATTATAAATATTTTTTTTTTCTTATAAACGAGCAATTTACATTGTTGGTCGATAGATCACTTTTTAATTATAAGAATATGCATTACAATTTTGTTTAAGTTAATATTTACGTGGATAGTTTGACAGATGATCTGTTGTTTTGTTATCATAATTTGTAACAATATATATTATAAATATTTATATTTTTCTTACTAATCTAATAATTTGCATGTCAGACGACATAATTGGTTTTAATTTTTATTTTGTAAATATATTTGTGATTTTATCATGCATATTTAAATAAAAAAATTATTTAATATACACTTTTTTGAAGACATGTTGTAGAAAATCACGATATATGGTTGGTTGCCAAAAGAATAAGAAATCGCAGTGATTCATAATTAATATAAAGAATCAGATTTTATTGTGATAATTATCACAAAATAATGTTCAAATTTGATACCACTTTATTTATATAGAAAGTCATGCTATTAACCAAATTGCATGATTTGTAACATGTAGTTATAATTTAATTTTTTTTCAAATATATTAAAATAATTTTCACTATATTTTCTTTAATAGTAAGTCAATCAATTCAATTACAAAGTCAAAGTTACTATTTTAGATTATTCCAAACTCATTTAATATTACTCATGCGATGTACGGGAGTATTTATTACCTACTTGTTTTTTAAAAGATGTTTTTGTATTTTAAATGTATCGTGGCATTAAAAATACCATGAAAATAAAATTTATATATTATTGAACCAGTATAATTCATCCACCCACTAGCTACTAATTCAGTACTAATAACAAATGAAGTCCAAATTGCATTTCATGGGATTGTACAACAGCCTGCAAATTTTGGGTACAACAAGTCAGAACTAGCCCAGTATACACAATTTGCCCAGTTCCTTTTTCAGCCCTCAGCCATGTTACCAAAATAAGTGACCAATATCTCTGAAATGAAAATACAAGTCCGATTGCACATTTACTAGACCAATACCAAACAGACCGCTCAAAATAAATCCAAGATCACCCAAGAATACAACAAACCATTTGAAAGACATATGAGACGAAACTTCACTTTCTTAGAAACGCCACAGTCGCAACACGTGATCCAACCGAACCCCCAAACGTGAAAGTCGGATATGTGCGAACGTGATCAATGTATTGGAATGTGGGACCCCTGCCTTGAGAGGCAGCAATCCTCCTTTGGTTGAAAGCCTCCATCTCCTGTATTAACTCGTCTTTAGTGCTATTGCATGATGTAATAACCTGAAACATGAAATAAACAAATAAACATAAATCAAAACTTTGTGCCACAGTAATTTAAGCTCGAGCCACATTAGTACAGATGCTCACCAAAATTCCACCAGGAGAAACAATCTCTGACACCGAATCCCAATACATTATCCTGAAACATGAAAACCTCGATTAAAATACATAAACATTACAGCAGAGCAAGAACACATCACAAATATTCCATTTGACGTCATATGCCAATAGAAAAGTATCCCACATTATAATTATTTTCTTAACTGAAAGACGGAGAAAACAATGTGAACTATCAACGGAACCCAAAGAATTACCTTTTGAGAGGACCATCAGGATGTAATCCAATTGCATCCAGAGTCCCCTTATCAGTGACCAGCTGAAACTTGCGATCGAGTCTTGTCTCGAGAATATCGTCAACCTGAAAATCGATTTAGAATAAAAGCTGTCAACTTGAAAAAAGAAAATGAAAAACTTTAGTAAAGTGAAAGCAGGTAATCAATTGGCCATCATAGTATATTAGTATATACTTTAGATCAGCCTTATAGTAAAGGGTTAAGAGGTCTCAAGCAGGATAATTATTCCCTCAATACAGTAAAGCTCCAACACCATGATAGTTACATAATTATGGACTGCGGTATAAAATATATACATCAATATGAAAGGAAACAAAGTTTTAGACAAGTGTTTATATATATATATATATATATATATATATATCATGACATGCTATCGCTTTTGTGGTCTAACAATTCATTTATCTCCAGTATCTTTGTACTATGTCCTAAGAATGCCTCAACTTGTAATCTATATGTTAGCAAATCACTTCTGCATCCCCAAAACCATATTCATATTAGGCTTGATTGGCATAAGTACAACCACAAAATAGGCCAATCCATTACTCGCTAATAATCATCTGTAGCACCTCAATTTTAAAGTGCACCCATGGCAGAATCAAACACTGATTTTAACGATTGAGAACATACAAGGAATTTAATACTAGATAATCCATCACGCTCAGCAAGGTTTCGAGCTAAGTCGATTGCTCCTTCACTGTAATCAGTTCCGGTGAGATCTGAGAACCTAAATGCAGGAATACCAAAAGTAAGCTTCGGTAAAATCAGACAGGTATTTGACAAGGTGCGTAATAAGTAAATGAAAATCAAGCTTCTAATGGAACAAGACAGACAATGTCCACTAAATAGAAAGTAGAAACCTTGAAGTAAAAGTCCCAGTCAAGGAAATGATGTGTTCCAGTTAAAAATTATTTTGAACAAACTCACACAAAACAAAATAATTTATTAAGGTTTAAATCTAGAATTGTGAAAAGAAATAGGGTTGGATCAGAAGAAATGAAGCGATTATATTGAATTCAGTACACCAGGTGTTATGAATTATTCTCGCATCAGAAAAAACAAATAATGACATTGAAAGGACAAAGATCACTAGTTTACTTAAAGGTACATGCAGAAAGCTTCTTTTAGATATGCCCAGAGAAGAGTTTCTAGGACACGACAAACTAATAAGCCAATTTGCAATGCGACTAGTATATTAGTTTCTTTCAGCAGTTAAAAAATCCAACAGGACACGTCATCAATTTTTTTTGTTGTAAAAATCTCATTCTAGAACACAAAATTTGCATGAAAACCAAACGAACACAAAATTTGCATGAAACCCACTTGGCTCAGTTGAGGATGATGGAAAAAGGAAACAATGAAAACAATGGGAAAAGGAAGCAATGTCCAACTTGGCTCTTAGACATCTAAAGAAAAGAACATAAATTGAAAAGGAAAAGGATGAGAGAGAGAGAGGGGGAGAGAGATGAAATAAAAACAAAGTGAAAACATGGCATCTGAAGTTTAAATTTAACAAACTAAATACAGAACACAAGGGATTAGACTGCGAGTAGAACATCTAAAAGTTATCCTTACCCCTGCTTACTGAGCTCCTGAAGAAGCAAACCATTACCAGTCCCAATATCCAGAACACTCCATGAGGACAAATCTTTTTCAGGCTGCCCAGAAGCCAAACAATTGGTATTAACTGAATTGTTTGGAAAGTGACGGTGCGAAATTTCAAGACATAAATTTTTGGTCCAGATGGCAACAGTTTCCATCACATCAGCACCAAACCTACAACACAGAATACATTAACATGAGATTCAGCATCGAAGGCAAAAAGAAAGGAAAAGGAGAGCAGACCAGCGGCAATTCATATAGTTTTCTTTCATTCATCTCAATTGCTTGCAACACTAATCTCCTTTACTGGACTTAGATTGGGTGAGTGTAAAGTTAAGTCAGGTTTGCTTCTCTTGATATGAAATTTTGGATAATAACTTGAAATGGGTTAGAAGAATTTAAAAGCATGATAACCTAGACACGTGACAATTGTTAAAATTATGTTACACTTAAAAATAACTGTTATGGAGTTGAACTCACAGGAGTAGATAAATGAAATGAAAACTGATCAACTAATTCCCAAGTAGGAATAAGATTCTACAATGTCAATTTAATAAAAAAGAAAAGAAAGGAGAAATCTATAACTCGAACTTTCACAGCACAGGTTTCTTACACAAATATACTCAAAGCAGTAACTAATTGCATTTATCAAAAATCAGCTCTAGACTTACCAAACTTCACCGGCATGGCCATGTTCCCGGAAATTCGTCAATTCATCTGCATATGTAGCATCCCAATAACTCAGGAAACCCAGCATTGACGAAGCAGCCTCGGAATCATGTTCCTCCTTGTCAGAGCTGGACAGCACAAAATTGACTATTAGCATTTCCAAAAACTGAAATGCATCCTCTACAACAACACCCCACTGCAAAGCAAGCAAAGTACTACTACTACTACAACCCAATAGAAGTTGTAACTATCTTTTACCAAGTGCAATCAAAACACGTACTCCTCCACATATAACCCTAAATTAGCATCCCGCATTCTTTCAAAACAGCACTACAACATTAGAGAATGAAGCCATACAGTGACAATCAGGTCTCCATATACATCACATAATCAGGCCTAAATCACGTAAACAACAATCTAGGACGTTAATTGGGAGGAGGGAGTGAGGTGACCTGTAGTCTGAGGGGGCAGGGTTAGCCGAGGCGGAGAGGGCCTCAGCGGCGTCAGCCTGACGCTGATCGTCGTCGAGTGTGCTGCCATAGTCACTCTTGATGGACCAAGAGTCTGCAGCGACGGAGCGGTCATCGTCGGAGATCAGATCGACGGCGGCCACCTGCCGCGCGGCCTGCGAGACGTCGGAGTCCTCCGTAGGAAACCTGATTCCGGCCATGTCAACAAAATCAACGAGTCAGAATGTAGAGAAATTAACGAGAAAACCTAGGCTTAAGAGTTGGGGATTTTAGGGACGAGAAGTCAATTGGTGTTGAACAAACAGGCAGCCGACAACATTCGACCATGTTTATCGGTGACCCAAACAATTGGGTCCCAACTCACAAGCAAAAAGACAATAAATAAATAAATAAATAAAAAGGGAAAAAAATTAAGAAAAGAAAGAGAATGGTACTTGTCCAATGGACAAGTGTATTTTTTAATAGATAAAATAATTTATATTTTTATAAGTTAAATTATATTAAAATAAAAAATAATAAAAAACCAAAATTTATATTTTCTACTGTCTATAAATAGAGACTACATTTGATATGTTTTGGAATGCAATTGAATTTTTTCTATTTGGTAATGGTAATTGATGTGTGATTTTATTTAAAGTGTTTGTAACTTGTTTAATAATTTCAATATTTTATTTTATTTTTTGTAAATTCAAATTTTAATTGATTTTGTAATTTTATAATTATATGGTAAAATATTAATTTTGTAAAATTATTACAACTTTAATTATAAAATATTTTAATTAATTTGTAACTAAAATAATAACACAAATTAATTGTTGATAATACTTAATAAATAAATAAATATTTTAGGTTTGGTTGAGTTGGGGATAAAAATAAGTTGGGTTGTGTAGGTGGAGGAGGGAGAAATAATTTTTAATTGTTAGATTGAGTTGAGTTGGGTTGTGAATAAGCTCAGCCTTCGGAAATTCGACTCAGTTTTCAAATGTAATTTTAATAAAATATTTTAATTTTGGCAATTTTAAAGCGTTATTATTATTATTATTATTATTATTATTATTATTATTATTATTATTATTATTATTTGTTATAAAACTAGAGGGTAAGAGAGAGACTAGATAATGTATTATCTTGATATGATTTTCATTATAACTGAAGCTCTTATTTATAAGAAAACTTTTGATGACATAATCGTAATAATATATTGCATCGGGCGCAAAATAGTCATTTATATATATAGATATTAGTTCATTTGTGTGGTTGATATTTCATAGCACTCCCTCTTGAATGATTATTTCCTAAGATATTGGAGCAAAACCCAACTCGAACATCTTTAAGTGTAGCTTGTGGCCATTACAGACCACTTGCTTTAGCATGTCAAGAAAACCCGGTGGGACGTAACCTGAAAATTGTGGAAGCACAACATTGCTCCCTCTCAAACAGATCATCGTTAGTAGAGTATTCATGTGTTACCTCATTAAAACCTTGTCAAGAAAATCCTGTGGGAAAAACTTGATCGAAGGAAAAACAGTACATCTACTCCAGTCTCTTCTTATCATCATGAGGAATCATGTCATTTATCCTCTAGTCCTCATTATACCATAAATATGACTCGTTAAAAATCTTATTAGAAAAACCCAATAAGACAAAATCTTAATGAGGAAAGAGAGTACATTATTCATGTGAATACGCCATCTTTGTTGGCTCATTAAAAACCTTGTTGGGAAAGCCCAATGGGGAAAAACCTTAGCCGAGGAAAAAAGAGTACAACGCGTATTTCATATATTCATCATAACAATCTTTTCATAATTTGTACGAGTATCATATAGATTTAACCATTCAAGTTTTCAGATACTGATGGTATTCAGAATAATATATCATGTTTTGTGCAACTTTTAGTCTTAAATTCATCATCATTATCAGTGGATTTTCAATGGTATTAGTGCTAATAGTTTTCAATATTCACATTTTCAGTTGATTTCAAACTCGTCAATATCTTTTATAGCGCTTTTCATTTATTTGCATCGACACTTATTCATTTCCATTATTCCCCATATTAACATAACATACTAAGATATCTCTTTCTCAATTGGTAGTATATAAGTGTCCTGATTACATACTTCTCATTAATAGTATGTGTCTCCTTTCATCACTTATAAATTTGGAAAATTTCAATTGCACAATATCAACGCTTCCCGCGTATTATTCCACCATCATATTACATAATTCCCCACCATCAGTATCATTGAGTTTATGATCTTTATATTTTCAGTGTGATGCATATATAAACTTCAATTCTTGAATCTATCCCTCATCTTAACAAATCTTCGTAAAACTTTATTCATATATCTGATTAGTATTGAATTTCTTGAGGAGAGTTCATGTAGTTTCCATTTCGTTCTCGATTTCGACATATAATAGGAGGACTTTGAACCCATATCACTTGTAATGTTCATATTTTTTCTTTCAAGAGTTCATTCACATCAGTTGGGTATTGATATGGGATAATTATACTAGGTCGACTAGACATGGGAAGCAACAGAGCCGAACTGGGTGAACCACCAGGTCAAATGGAGGTTGAAGACTTCACAGGTCAAAGGATCCTCTGGTCGAAGAGGACATCAACGATACGGAGAACACCGATAGATCAAATTAGGGCTCTCGCATGGCCTGATTGAAGTTTGACCTGAAGGTACAGCTAGTCGAAGAATCGACCAAACTAGCAGAGCATTAGAGCTCGATATCAGTGGTATTCTACCTCGAGGTAATCAGGGTTGGTCGCATGGTTAGACCGTCAAATAAGGAAGACTAAAGGATAAGAAGGAATATGATTGGGATAAGACCTCCATGTGGATAGGACCACGTGTCCTAACATAATTGGGCAGTTTGGGCAGTTCGGGTAGCTCAGGCAGTACAAATGGGCAGCCCACTCGGGCAGGCTTGCACAAAGAGGGATCACCTCTGTATATAAGGAAGTGAGGTACGCCCAGCATAACATTACATTCTCTATTACTCTACATACATACAACACTTCGTCTTCTTCACAATGCTAACTTAAACATCAGAGGCTATTCACCGGAAAACTCTTCCGATATTAGACTTTTTGCAGGTCCAAAGGCGTTCAACCGGTGAGGAGCTCGAGATTAGGCAAAATCTAGCCAGTCATAGGTCTTTTATGTACCATTTTAGCGCTGTCTGTTGGACTTTCGTTCGAAAAGCCGTGAGACACCGTAGCCATGGCAGATGAGATTCCTAGAAAAACTTGGAGCAGAATTTCAATGACGTGTGAACACTTATCAATTTGGAACAGGCCCACCGCCGAGTTTCTCTGGGCCTTCTTAGTCTCTGATGACCCCAACGCCTCATCATGCGGGCTTAAGCGGCTCATCGACGGTCCTTGTCGATGTCGCAGGCTCGAGTCGATTCTAGGAGGCTCGAGCGACTCAAGAAGCAGTGATTCAAGTGCAGCCGCAAAACGATCCAGTCCAACCGCCGCCTGTTGGGCCGTCAAGGAGCAAGGTCGAGCAGGGGCAGCTGGTGACGATATCCAATGAGAAGTTGGCGAAAATGATAGCTGATGTAGTGGCGGCCGGAGCATTTCAGCAAGCCACCCACAAACTACTCAGGCCACCAAAGCGTCGATCACGGTGATGGGGATGAACCAACAGGAAATGGAGATGGATGAGTCGAGCAATAGAAATTGAGGCCCGCACTGTGATCAAGCTGTTGAGCAGATGGCGAAGCAGATCCGTCAGTTGTAGGAGAATGTAGATGAAAAACCCATTAGTCGAGCTCGAGGACACCTCTTCTCTAGGGAAATTCTCAACGCGGTGTTGCCACAAAACTTCAAGGAAGTCAACTTGACGAACGACTGGTCGACAGATCCGTCGAGATTTGTGAACATAGCAGTTTTACATGGTTGATACGTAAAAGACCTTCGACCGGCTGGAATCGGCCTGACCTCGAGCTCCTCACTGGTTCAACGCCTTTAGACTTGCAAAAACTCTCACACCGGAGGCGTTTTATGGTGAATAGCCTCTGATGTTTAAGTTAGCCCTTGTAGAAGATGAAGTGCAGTATGTAAAGGTATATAGAGAGTGTACTGTAATGTTGGACATACCACACTCCCTTTTATAAGGAAATAATACCTTGTTACCCAAGTCTTTCCGAGTGGGTTGCCCATTCATACTGCCCGAGCTGTCCAAAATGCCAAAATTGCCCAGTTCTATTAGGGCACGTGGCTCTATCTATGTGGGGGTTTAATTCCTATAATATTCTTTCATATCCTTTAATCTTCTTTATTAGACTGTCTAACCGTGTGATCGACCCCGATTACCTCAAGGTAGAGTATCACCGATATCGAGCCCTAATGCTCTGCCTGTCTAGTCGACCTTTGATTCAGGTTGAACTTCAATCAAGTCGTCTGAGGGCCCTAATTCGACCTATCGGCACTCTCCATATCCTTGACGTCCTCATCGACCTGAGGATCCTTCGACCTATGAAGTCTTCAACCTTCATTGGACCCAATGGTTCGCCCGGTTCGGCTCTATTTCTCCCCAGGTCTACTTGACCTAGTACGGTAATCCCAAATCATCTGGTCCCCCACATTTGTTACATATGATTGTTAGTTCAGATAAGATAGTGTTACACTACCCACAATGTTTGTACGCAGGATAAGTCATAGGATATAACTATACCTTGTCAATTTTGTCCTTTCTTTCTCATTTTTTTCTTTCCCATTTATGATATTAGAAAAATAAAATCAAGAAAAGTCCAAAATACATTTCACCTCCACCTCATCTTATCTTTCCAATCTGTCATTAATGCTCACTTTACTCCACTTCAGTTTTGCATTAAGGATTACTCTATCCACCATTGACGCCTCTTTAACTCCACCACCAACCCAAATTCACTTCCAACCTGATGTAGCACCAAAAATAACTCGGTGAACCGGCTGAGTGGTTAGCTCGGATAAGGGCCGGTCCAAGGGAGCTTGGAGCCTATTTTATGTAATACACGATATTAGTTAAAGATATTTATGAAACTTAGAGTATATCTACACAGTTATTGAGGAACATCATAATTCTGGTTTTTTGAGGAAACTCATTACCTTGGGGAGTAAGTCATTAAACCCCTTATAAATAAGGGACCAAGTTCATTTTCTAATCCTAAGCTCTTAAGATTATTTAAGATACACAATCAAAACATTCGTTTTCTGACTTGAGCGTCGGAGTGTCTACGTCGGGGCCCGTCCCAGCGCTTTGCAGGTCGATCCGGTTCTTGAAGACGAAGGCAATCGAGACGTCCGAACTCTCACGCAATCGAGATGAGGCGGTTCGACCAGCAACCTCGGTGAGTCGATTATTTTGGCTCATCA